ATAAATGTCCTTAGCAGCAGGCAGGACCAGTAAAGAGCTTCTTAGCTCTGGCAATTGCAGTTAGCCACTAAGAATTATGCTCTCAGTGCAGACACATTTGATGAAATGACTTTTTTTATTTTGAAAAACTCCGAAGATTGTCTTTGAATGCAGAATGCTTGGTCTCCATGTGACGAAGCAGTTTTGAAGGTTTCATGGCTTTGCTGGATAACCAGTTGCCATATAATGCAAAGTAGTCTTGAAAAATGTGAAATCACCTGTTGCAGTGAATCCATAATTTAAGTAGAATTCTTGGTATTTTCTTTTAAATGCAGCTTTATTTTTGTTGGTAGTCTTAGAGTCTTAACTGTCTCATCATTGGGTCTTTCCCCCTTGTCAAAGAAGCTCTCCAATGACGTTTGTTTGTTACTCATGTTGGCTAGGGTCAGCCTGTGGGTTTACCAAAACAGACCAGTGCGCAGTGCAGGAGAAGGTACAGACAGAAGTGGTAAATAAAATAATGGGCAGAACACACACGAACTAAAATAAGTGTCGGATTCTGACTTAAAGCCTGCCACCAGATGCAGCTGTACAACTGAAGCACATCAACTCACTTGCCATTCACTTTTTTGATATGAGTCTGCAAGCAATCGATGATAGTCTGTGCGCATTCAAACCTCACTGATAATGTTCATCTGTGTTAAACTGCTCCCCAGTGCTAGGAACATGCAACCTAGATCCCTCACATGCACCGTTCACAATAGGGTTCGTACTCATATGACAATCTAATGCTGCGACTGATCTGACAGAAGGCAGAGCTCAGGCAGTAATGTGAGTGATGAGGAGTGGCTGTAAATACAGATGAAGCTTCACTCACTCACCTGCTGTACGGGCCAGTTCCTAACAGGCCACAGACCAGTACCGGGATCAGAAAGGAGGTGAAGCTCAGAGACCATGATAGATTGAGAGAATGGGCCATCTAGAACCCTAATGAGGTTAAAGACTAGATATGTCATGGGTGCAACATCTAAGGATGGGGCAGGTGAGAGGGCAGGAAGTAGGTGGACGCAGTTGAGTTCACATTTTCAGAAGTGGAAAAATTGAAGGCACTGGGAATGAAGATGTGACCAAAGGTTCAGGAGGCTTGGGAGGAGTCTCCAGGGCTGCACGACCATCAGGGGCTGGTTCCCAGGGCAGCAGTGGGGTCATCCACGGGCTCTGACATCATCCATGAAATCGGCAGGAGTGAACATGGAAAACAGAAAGGGTTCAAACTCTACAGGAGGAGGAGAGATGTGGGAGAGTGCAGTTGGAAGGGGAGGGGACTCTGGCCCCAGATGAGCCAGATACTCTCGGAAGAGTTGAGAACTCCTGGCCTGGGAGTAGCACTGGGGACCCTGGAGAACGCAGCCCCCACATGACCCATGCAGAAGAGTGAGCGCCTCCCAAGAAGGCCTCAGAGGTTGCTGCTTCCGGCCACCAGGTACTGGATAGGCAGGATGGAACCTTAGGCATGCCTTGCTACTGCCCTTTCCGTTTCCAGCCCTTTTTCTCAAAGGCTGAGCCCAGAGCTGCTCTTTCCATTTTCCATGGTAACCAGTGACCTATGACAAATGGGCCCTGTCGGCTGCCATGGCAGGGAGACACTCAGGAGCCTCCCTCGTGTTCACATGAAGGAGCACCCCTCCCACTCACACCCCACCTCCCCATTCTGCCCAGTGCTGCCTGCACACAGCAGGCCCTCCCATAAGCACACACTACCAGGGTGCCCCAGAGCACAAGGCACCACTGACTGACTGAAGAGAGGCCTCCGGGAGTCCAGAGCTAGTCAGGGTCCAGCCTGCAGTTTGGAGTCTGGCAGTCCCCCTACCCCAAGGCTCCCTGGGAGCTCATCTCAGGAGCAGCTCTCAGGCACTCACAGCTTTGCACAGCCTCTCTTCACAGGCTTTCTCTGCAGAATCCCTCCTGTCCCTGCAGTCGCTCCCCTCCCCCACTCCCTACCTCCCCAAGGCCCACTGCTTAGAGCCCCCTTGGGGCTCAGACTGTGCACAGTCAGCACAAGCTCAGGGCCCCCTACTGAGGAAGCCCCCTCCCCTTGAGCTGGCGTCTCACTCTGTCACCCAGGCTGGAGTGCAGTGGTAAAGTCATGGCTCACCACAGTCTTGAACCCTTCAGCCGCAGCCCTCCCTACCCTCCCCTCTCCTCCCCCTCCAGTAGGTGGGACTACAGGTGTGTGCCCCCATACCCAGCTAATTTTTTTATTTTTTGTAGAGATGAGGTCTCGCTATGTTGCCCAGGCTGGTTTCCAACTCCTGGACTTGAGCTATCCTCCTGCCTGGCCTCCCAAATTGCTGGGTTTAGAGGCTTGAGCCATGGCACCTAGCCCCCTTCAGTTCACTGATTCATGCTGTGGTCTCCACTGCCCCTACTTCCTCCCATTTTCTTCAGTGTCCCCTATAGCTGACCCCCAGCCTCTGTTGCTCTCCATCCCAGAGCCCTCAAGCAGAACCGACAGACAGAAGGGCTTTCCTTCCCTGGCAGTCAGGGATTTTGCCAGCCTCTTCAGAAGTCAGCAGGCAGGAGTGGTCAGGACCTTCCCAAGCCAATAACTGGGAACTCACCCTTGTGGCTTGTGTGAGTCCCAGGGGAACTCACCCAGGGCTGACCAAGGCCCATCAGGGTGGAGCCTATGTGTTAAATAGGTGTAACCTTGACTTGGAGAGAACATCCACTGGGAAAAAGGCAAGAGACAAAATTATGTGTATAGACACTATGTTTATATAATAAAACAACCAAATAAAACATTATTAGAAGGAAATATGCCAACATATATACAGTGCTTGCCATAGCAGAGTAAAATTATGAGTGGTTTTAATTTTTTTCTTTTTTCGAGTTGGAGTCTCACTTTGTCACTTGGACTGGAGTGCAGTGGCCGCTTCCGGCCACTGCAGCCTCGACTTGTTGGGCTCCGGTGATCCTTCCGCCTCAGCCTTCCAAGTAACTGGAGCTACGGGCACGTGCTATCACACCCGGCTAATTTTTTGATTTGTTGTAGAGATGAGGTTTTGCCAAGTTGCCCAGGTGGGTCTCTAACCCGTGGCTGCAGGCAATCCACTCACCTTGGCTTCCCAAAGCACAGCATTACAGGCTGAGCCACCAAGCCCGGCCTAATTTTTTTCTTTTCCTTTACACTTAATCCTTTTTTTTTTAAAAATCGTAGTAAAATACACATAACAAAAGTACCATCTTCACCATTTAAGTGAGTAGTTCAGTACTATTAAGTATATTCACATTGTTGTGCTGATCTCCCGAACTTAATCAGCTCTCAAAACAAACTCTGCCCCCATTGAACAACTCTCCACTTCCCCCTCTCCTCAGCCCTTAGCAAGGGAGATTTCTAATTTTTTGTTTTCATTTTTGCTTATTTATATACTTCTCAAATTTTTACAGTGAGCATTTATTATTTTTATAACTGAATTTTTACGACTAAGCAACATAACCTACAACCCAGTACCATCTCTTCCACTTTTGAGGCAGGGAACCCAGGGCATGAGCTAGGAAGCTGTCTGCGGGGAACCTAGCCCCACAGCCCTCGGGTCATCCCACAGCTCCCAGCCACGGACGACTGCTTCCTCTCAGCAGGACAAGACCCAGCGACTTGACCAGGACAAGTTTCATCCATTGAGTCCTGACTGAACACGGAGTTGGCCCACAGGATTCAGGACGGGTCTTAGTTTCAAGGAGTTACCTGTCCCTGTCCCTCTTCTCACTTCACTGAGCTCAGTGGAACCAACTCTACAGGGTCACTCCTTGTTCTCGGTTGCCCATGTCTCTTGCCCCCTGAGGCCCTCTGGCCTGCCAGGCCCAGTGCTCTGCTCACCAGGTCCCCAGGTCCAGTTACTTGGAGGCAGACAGGGAGGGCTCTGTTCCCATACTGGCCCTGCTGGCCCTCCCGTAGGGGCTGAACACCATCTGTTCTAGGACATGCAAAGAACAGAGGCCCTGAGGGGTTGGGGCAGGGGCAGGCAGAGGCCAGGGAGGAAGTAGAGGTGATAAGGATGCAGAGTAACTTCCACCCTGTCAGTCTGAAGGTGTCAGTGGGTTTCGTTACAAACAGTGACTTATGCACACAGAAAGTCACAAAGTGCCAAAATGTGACACTGTAGAAAGTTAGTGCCCTTTCATTTTGCAAACAAGGAACCAAGGTGAGCTGACTGGCTTGATGCTGCAACAAGGTGGCGGCAACAGGGATGAGATTGGAACTAGGTTGCCTGGACCCTCGGTTCCCCTGTCAGAACCTGAAGAAGCACCATAAGAAACGGGAAGGAAGCCAGACGTGGTGGTTCATGCCTGTAATCCCAGCACTTTGGGAGGTGGAGGTGAGAGGATTGCCTGAGCTCATGGGTTTCAGACCAACCTGAGCAACTTGGTGAGACTGTCTCTACAATAAATGAAAAAATTACCTGGGCATGGTGTTGTTGCCTGCGGTTCCAGCTACTTGGAAGGCTGAGGCGGAAGAATTGCCTGAGCCCAGCAGGTCAAGGCCGCAATGGCTGTGAGTATGCTACTGCACTCCAACCTGGGCAACAGAGTGAGACTCTTACTCCAAAAAAAGAGAGAGAGAGAAAGAAACGGGAAGGGAAGCAAAGCTAAGGACCAGTGGAACCAGTTCAGAAACTGGCTGCCGTGGTGGCGAGTCCCCAGGTGGCAGATTGCTGATCCCCAGCTAACTATGATGCTTCTGCAAGGGACAGACTGGAACCGGGGCCTGGGGATCTGAAAGATAAAAAGCACATGATACGGTGCCTGGTGCAATGTGAGTCCTGAATATTCCTGAAGCCATCCGTTCTCTTGCTGTTTCCCTCGAATCTCAGGTACGTGGGTAGGGACAGGAGTCACTGAGGTGTTGGTCAGTTTTTAGGCTGAATGAAGAATAAGGCACACAGGGACAGGATGTGAGGACATTCTTGCAGAGGAAAGCAGGTGTCTCCCCGGCCCTGTATGGCCCCTTGAGGCTCTACTCAGGAGGGGCCAGTCTCTTGCTGCCCCTCTAGGCCATTGTTCTCAGGCAGGGGATGGGCCCTACTGCCCAGGGAGCCCAAGTCATACAGGGTGCTGCCCATGGTCACCCTACTGCTGAGGCTGTTGAAGCTGTAGTGGGGTCTGAGGCGGTGGCACTGGGTCCCGAGGCACAGGGCTTCCCGGAAGGTCTCTCGGAAGCGACTGGACATGAGGCTGTACAGCACAGGGTTGGCGGCCGAACTGAGGTAGAAGAAGACGCCGGAAATAACATGCACGAACTGGAAGGTCAGCTGCAGGCCCTCTGTCCAGTTGGAGTCGGTCATGAAGCTCCACATGACGCGGTCAGCATGGAATGGGGCCCAGCAGATGCCAAACACCACGACCAGCACAACTGCAGGGGCAGAGAAGGGAGGCCTGGGTGCTCGCCAAAGCCTTCTCAACTGCCTTCCCAAGCTTCAGTTTGGTCCACTCATTCTCACCTCCTCTCCCATCCCTCAGACAACCCATGCTCACTGCCCAGGTGGAAGTTTCTGGAAATTTGCCTGTCTGGCCACACCCCTTTCAGAGAGGCTGCCTGCCCTCACTACTGTCACTAACTGGGCAATGAGTAATGTCCCTGCCTCTGGCCACAGGTGTGGACACCTGAGCCCAGCTGGCCCAATCAGTTTATCTTGCTCTGAAATTTGGAATTGGGTGACACTTAGTTGTGGTTGCTGAACTACTAGAGGGATACAGGCTGTGGGGCCAAGGGCCACTCTGGGTGCCCATGTGGGGGTCATGCTTACTGACGCATAAGTACAAAGAAGCAGGAGAATGGGGCACGTGCTCAGAGAACAGCACACACCAAGGTCATGAGCCAGAGAGAGCGTGACACACACCCGTGCACTCACACATGCACACACCCTTGACACACACTCCCTGCCTTGGCCCCAGGCCTTCCCAGCTCCCCAAGGCCACCTAAATGTCTTGCCCAGCATTGAACCCCTTTACATGACAGGCCCTCGCGCACCCCCTATCCCTCCCTTCCCCTAGCAAAAGGTAGGACAAGCTGGCCAAGGCTTCACTCTTTTTCCCTAGATTCTTCCTGCTCCGGTCTTACCCAGCCATGCCCTTCTTTGGGTCTCTGCCATCGGGAGGCCTTGATTTTTCATTTCTTGTTTCTTGGATTTGCTGCTCTTACTTGCTGGCTTCCCCAAGTAGTGGTCTTCCCCATCATACCCTACCACGGTCTTCCTCATAATCCCAGATTTTAAACAAGACATTGTTTTGTTTTGTTTTGTTTTTTGAGTTGGAGTCTCACTCTGTCGCCCAGGCTGGAGGGCAGTGGCACGCTCCCTGCCACTGCAGCCTCGACCTGCTGGGCTCCG